ATGATAATGATAATGATTGATGATGATGATGATGATGATAATGATAATGATAATGATAATGATATGATAATATGATAATGATAATGATAATGATAATGATGATGATGATGATGATGATGATGATGATGATGATGATGATGATGATGATAATGATAATGATAATGATAATGATAATGATAATGATAATGATAATGATAATGATAATGATAATGATAATGATAATGATTGATGATGATGATGATGATGATGATGATGATGATAATAGTAATAATAATAATAATAATAATAGCAATAATAATAATAATAATAATAATAATAACAACAACAACAACATAATAACAATAATAATGATAATGATAATAACAATAATAATAATAATAATAATATAATAATAATAATAACTAATAATAATAATATATAATAATAATAATAATATAATAATAATAATAATAATAATATAATAATAATAATAATAATAATAATAATAATAATAATAATAATAATAATAATAATAATAATAATAATAATAATAATAAATATAATAAATAATAAATAATACTGATAATAATGATAATTAACTAAATCAATAATAAGTCTGAGGTGCGTGAAAAACGTAAGATAGTATAAAAAGAAAAATCAAATGGAAGGGACAAAAAAACACATGCAGCAGAGACAACAAATAATATAATAATAATAATAATAATAAAAACACTAAATGGAGATGCAGAATATGACAAGCGTACGAGAACACGAGTACAAATAAGACCACATCTTGGAGGTGAAAACAAATGCAGATAAAAGTTGCACAAAAGAAGAAAAAAAATCTGAAAACAATGATGAAGCAAGATCACAATATAGAGACGAGGAAAACAGAGAGAGTGAGAGAGACAGAGAGAGACAGAGACAGAGAGGGAGAGGGGCAGGGAGGAGGGTGAGAGAGAGAGAGGGAGAGAAAGAGAGAGAGACAGAGACAGAGAGGGAAAGAAGAGAGAGAGACAGAGACAGAGAGGGAGAGGGGGAGGGAGAAAGAGAAGAGAGAGAGAGAGAAGGTCAGACAGACACAGAGACAAAGACAAAGTCACATACAGACAAACAGACACACATAAAGTCATAGAGACAGACAGGCAGAGACAAAGAGAATTCATAACTTTAAAACAGATGATGCAACTTAAATGATATATAATTACAATAATGATAAAATCACGATAATATCAATCATGATAATACAGATAATAATAATGATAGTAATCATTATTATCACTATTACCATTGATAACATTATTATCATTATTATTATCCCAATTATCATCATCATTAAGAACTCAAAGCTGGTTCCATACCCAAGTAGCCGTATGGAACGTAAAACATTCGTATTAACCCGCAGGAGAATCCGGTAGCGTGGCCAATTACTTTCCGCCCGGACTTTGACCCCAGGATGCTGATGTCAGTACATACCAGTACGCACTCACAGCGGAGTCGACTGACTTTAATAAGGGGTTTAATTAAAGGCTATGAAGATGCGCGAAATTCTGTTCTTCTGTCCTGCAAAATACGGACGAATTGCAAAAAAAAATGGAGCTTAAAAAAATAAAGATGAAGGGCAGGTGTTTGCTGAACTTGTGGTCGTGGCAACTTGCATATTATAAAAGCGTTTTAAAAAGAGAGAAAGAGTATTTGTGTTCGTTTTCCTGTTTATAGAACATCCCCTTACGCTTGTAAATAAAAACAAAAACACAAAAAATAAAAAGTAATGATATGGCTCATTCGTAACCTAGTTACCTAAAACCATACGGATTGATGCGTTATATTATTTTGTAATAAACACATTTTAAAAGTACATTTTCTATAGTGTACCAAAAAACATACGAAAAAAAACACGGTACGTAACGTTATCACAGTCGAAGGAACAGTTAGTCCAGTCACGTGGTCTTATTGTTAACTACTGATCTTAAGCTTCGAAACCAGCCGCCCATCACGTAACTTCTTTTCTCTCTTTCTCTGTTCTTAGAATTCCCAAAGCTTAAGGCTACGTTTTCATTAACTATCACGCTGGGGAGCTTTTAATCTGTGTCTTTGATTCTTATGGTATTATTTTCTGTGCACTTTTAATATCATTTGCCCCATTTTTCATTCTTTGTTTAAGAAGACGCTGCTTCGAAGCGTCACGAACATGAAGCAGAGAAACGAACAGCTGTTTTTCGGTGAAGGATTGGGAGTGTCAGGTTATCTATGATTTATTCGGGTTTTATATTCATGTAGAGATGAATTAGGGTAAGGATGATGAGTGATGGTGTCGTGTGGTGAGAATAGACTGTTTAGGTTTTATGTGATTTAATTAGATTTTATAGTCATGCGCAGATGATGATGATAAGGGACACCAAAGGGGATTTGACGATAGTAAGGAAAAATAATAACGTAAATTCGTATATTCGTGTGTGTGTGTGTGTGTGTGTGTGTGTGTGTGTGTGTGTGTGTGTGTGTGTGTGTGTGTGTGTGTGTGTGTGTTGTTAGTCTGAGTGTGTGTGGTGCGTGTGCGTGTGTGTGTGCGTATGCGGCGTGTGTGATTGTGTTACTATTCGTGTATGTCTGTGAGTGTGTGTGTGTGTTAATGTTCATGTGTGTGTTAGTGTGCGTGCGTTACGTGTGCGTGCGTGTGAGTGAATGCGAAAGGTCTGAAAAGGCGAGGAAAAC